TGCCCTACAATAAATTTGTGCCTTTAAGGGGCACATTAAGACAAGCAGATACAGCAGGCTGGAGAAACTAGTTAGAGGATACTTATGGTAGGGACAGAGAAAATAATTAAATGGAGTTATGGGGCATCAGCTGATACAGTGCAACATTTGTTCTGCTCTGTCCAGCACTAACTGGAAGCTAAAACAGGACAGTTAGACCCCAAGCCTGCCAAGGCCCCACAGTATAACTTATGCCGACTATAGAACAGAATGGACAAAAACACTTATTGTAGACTTGGCACTAGGTCCCCATGCAACACAATACATAAAATAAAATGTTTAGGTTAAAAAATTATAAAAGATTTCTGTTCATAGTAGTAGCTGTATGAATTATTTTTATTTATTTATTTATTATATCTATCTATCTATATATATATGGTGTATACATATTGATAGAGTTATATTTATAGCAGACGATGTTTTTTCATAACACACTGGTTTGCAATCTTGCTTGTAGGCTGATTGGCTTGTAGGCCAATTTGTAATGAATACAAATCACACCATGGACGTCTAGAGCAGTGGTGCTCAACCTTTTTGCCCCATGGGCCAGATGGGTGGTGCCAGGTCCCTCTGTGGGCTGGATCTGGCTGTGGAAGGTTACATAGCTCAAGCCTGATCTCTGTCTGCTCAGGTAGGGGTTAGGGCAGGAAGCAGGCCTAATTTGGATATGTTGGGGGTGGGGAGGTTGGGGTGGGAAGAGGGGGAGGGGGCCAAGAGACCCTGATCTGGACATGTGGGGCAGCACAGAATGGCCCTGATCCAGACCAGCTGCGGGGGAAGGAAGAGAGAGGCAGATGGCAGGTCAAGTGGCCTCAGCCTAGACATGCATGTGGGGGAGCAGCCTAGCCCTGATCTGGATGCACACAGGGAGGTGGTGGGGTGGAGTAGCCCTGATCTGGATGTGTGGAGGGTGGGAAGGGGGAACAGCCTGGCCCAATCTGGGCATGGGAATGGCCCTGATGCCACCAAGCAGCCAATGACCCAGGTGGGACTGGATATGGCCATGCTGGGCTTCCACTTCTCCCCGTTGCAGATGTTTCTGAGCTGTGAGGATGTCTCCAGGCCAGGTGTCATGGTTCCACAGGCTGATTTGACCTAGCTGAGCACCCCTGATCTAGAGTTTTCTGGCGTGAACTGAAATATTTGCAAAGTCAATGTCTTATCTAGCTTAGAAAGTATAAGACATTATAATACTTGACTGTGGTAATGGTCCATGTCACAATGTGGATTAAGACCAACATGTAAGAAAGTGCATTCCTACCTGAAACCTTTTTCTTTTTAAAATGCTAACACAGTGCAGCTTGAAGAGCAAATCTATAGATTTACTACAGAATTTACTAGAATTATTTTTTCTGTAAAAAAGTTACTAGAAATTACTAGTAATTAGAATTAGTACTAGAATTAATTTTTATTTAATCCATTTAATTTAAAACTAAACTGGTCATATGTAGGGAGCTACTGACCTACTGAATTCAGGGTTGCTGCTTCCCAATTTCACAGTCCCAGTGTGGTATCAGGCACCATTTTCACAGTCAAGCATGGCAGCCCCCCTGCCCAACACCTCTGATTGACCAAGGGGTCCTGGAAGTCCCACTCCTTCCCAGAGATTGACAGATGGTTCCAAACTGGGGCTTGTTAATGCAGCAATTAATGGCTTCCCCAGACTTGGTCAAGCAATTGCCATGTTAGCAAGCAGTCTAGGATGTGGTTAATGGCTTCCCCAGGCTTGATCCTCTGATTAAGCCCAGGGAAGCTATTAATTGCTGAGTTATTATTAAACAGTAATTCCTTCCTCAGGTTTGATCAGGGGATCATGCCTGGGGAAGCCATAATTGCCATGCTACTATTAGCAGGATCCCTGCATGATATTGTTTTGCACAGTCCATCGCTGAAACGTATTTGCTGGTCTTGGAAGATTTCTTTGCATTCATCTCTGCTCTCTGCACTTCAAAAGCTTGCGCTGAAACCCTCCCAGCTTCTCTGGCTGGCCCCTGACTGGTTCCTAGACTAAGCCTACATCAGGCTCAGCATCTGATTTGCACCTACTCCATCCCCACTCCCGGACAGCAGGCTTCCTATAATTTTTTATTTGCAGTTCTCTCTCCTTTTCTTCTCCCCCCTGCTTGCTGGATGATTTTGCATTTTTTCCATGGTCCCTGTGATTTCACGTGGGAACCTACCGATTTCAGAGTTTCCATGAAAATTGCAAATCACAAATTCAATAGGTTCCTACTCATATGACCCTTCCAAAGAATGCTTCTAGTACTCATTAAGATCAATACAGATATCTTCAGAACTAACCAAATTTGTAAAAGGTTAATTAAACAGTAAACAAGAGTAAAGAGTAAACAAATCACCTGACAAGGCTAGAGAATCACTTAAAAAAAAAATATGATTACATTTCTTTTTTAGGTGTTCTAACTTTATAACCCACCTGCAACCTTCCACAAAGTTTGTAATACATATGCTTAACATTACTTCAGCAAGTTTGGTTTAAAGTTTTATTTCTCCTGGGCTCAAGATTACTAATTTAATGCCCACCACCATGATCTTGACCTACCATGCAAACAACAGGTAAGGGATATTTTTTTTAATGTTTGGGGATTTAGTTAAATGATTTTCACCACCTCAGCTGAAGTTTAATTGCAATTCAAAGAAATCTTCTTTCCTACCAGCTTATACATGGAACTAGAATCCATACAGAAATATGTATGCTGATACTTACCCCTTGAAGTGGAGGAGAAGACAGATATTCAAGGATATATCTCCTTATTGATGTCTCACCCTGGATATATTTTTGACCTTTGAATCCAGACTCAAAAAGTTCAACCCACAGGCACCTGTGGATTCTCTGACCATTCACTTTTCACATTACTGCTTTCATTATGTCCATCTTGCTAAAACCTCCTACTTCTTTCATTATAGCAGATGGAATGGAAGTGACACTGAAGTGACTGTCTGGTTGGGAGTGACACAGAGAAGCTTTCAGTACCACTACCTTTTCTCAGGTGGTACCTGGAAGTAAATAGCTTGTAAAGGTCATGCTCCTTTTTTCCTTTTTTAAAGACCTCAAGAATGCTCTGCATTTGAAAGTTTGTCTAACTTTATCCCAACCATACAGCTGGTCCAATGAAAGGTAAATCGTCCACAAAAATCCTTGCCTCTCACATTCCACCTGAACCATCATGGCTACAACATGACCCCAACAGTACCATTATCTTTACAACAGCAGTGTAAGGCCATGTGTAGATGAAACGAGAGGCGTGTATGCATGACACTTGAAAGCGGGTTAAATGATTTTGCACTGCTTTAATGGTGCCGGTGTTTGCAAGCCTCGGCAGCATATTGTGCATTAATTCCAGCCGCTGTAGGAAATTCGGCAGCATAATTCACCTTAAATGACTTGGGGTGCAGCAAACTAAAACTTCAGTTCATCATGTTAGATATTGTCACACCTCTACTCATAACATAGTTGTTCATAGGTGTATCTACACAAGATCCTTTACTGAGAAGTGGCATAGTTTACTGTGCAGTAAGCATGTGCGTCTACACGTGCACATGTTTACTGTGCAGGAACCTTGTTATTTGCAAGGAAATTTTCTACCTGCAAATGCAAGTAGTAAATTTACTTGTGATGACTAACTGCGTACCAGTGCTTGTGTAGATGCCAGACCAGGAGCAAATCTGCTCCTGATGAGCCGGCCACAAGGGGGTAAGAGATTGCTCTCTGTCCCTGGGAGCTATCTCCTGTTGGGGCAGGCTGCACTACCAGAGCCTGGGTGAAGATTATGACCCCCTGCCACTGCAGCAGGGAGTTCCAACCCCCCGGCTCCAAGATCACAACTTGGGAGCGGCGAGATGCTAATCTCCCAGCACCAGCTCTGTAGTTGCAGGGCTTGGGCTGGTAGATCATTATCCCCATTACTGTTCCCCACTCAGCTCTGCGAGTGCTCCAGGCCTGTTCCCCACACAGCTCTGTGATCATGGAGCTGAGCAGGGAACAGGAGCAACATCCCAGCCCCAGCCAGGAGATGGCTGTTTCCTAGCCTAGTGCTCCCTGTTACCCCTTGGGCAAGCACCCAGGGGGGGAGCCTAGAGCTCCCACTGGTGGCAGCAGGGGCCTACTGGAGTGCCCCAGAAAGTGAGAGCAGTTTGATGCCATTAGCAGCAAATCTGCCCCTGCC